TGTCCTAGCGCGCTTGGGCGCTTGGTCGGGTAAGCCACAGATCAGGAGCTCCGAACTACTTACAGGTCTTGAAGACGACGAGTTAGTTGAAACGTAGACCAAATAAACGATTCCATCATAACAAACTTGTACGGTAAGGAATTGTGAAATATTGTAAAAGTAATTACAAACACTGCATTCTAGTAAATCACCCCACTACTTCCTACGGCTCTGAAGTAATGGCGAGGGAGAGCAAATCCTTCGTTTGATTCATTATTTCCCACCCGTCTACTTATGTTTATTCTACCTTTCATTTTCAATATAAAAGTAGCCATAACTTCCAGATTTGAATAATCCAACTCTCTCTCTCCTGTTGTACTCGAAACGACACTGATAGGTGAACGCTTTTCCACTAGCACCTTCTTTTCGGACTTCACTTGCCTTCATTGTAAAATACTTCTCTTGTATGTTTTTGATGCCTTCTACGGAATTCGAAGATTTTCCCATTGACTTTGCAGGCAGAAGAGTAGTAAGCTTGGAAAAAGAGTGATTGCTTTGCACTTCGGGCATTTCTTCGATGAAATATACCAGCCCTTAAAATCTATTCTTGCATTTGGTTGAGCATACCTTACTGTAAGATCAGTTTTCGCCTCGAAACAAAAACCCTTTTTAAAACGCAGACATGAATCGTTCAACTGTGTGCATTTCTCGTTTCTTCTTTTTCAATCTAAGCGAGAAACCAGGGCATTTATCTCGACGCAATAGACTGCATGGAGGTTCTGCTTTCAATAGGCCCTTTAGAATACTCCAAAACAACATTCTAACTAGGGTTCTCACTAAGCTACTTTCAATATCCACAGTCTTGTCTGCAAACCGCAATGAACTTGCACAATGCGATGAGTTATATAGTTTTGAAGCGAATTAGTTTCCCCAATCATACATCCAAACCACAAGCAGTTTACTACCCTGCGCGTGAACACCCTAGGCTGAAATTGACGTGGCGAAAGGGGAGGTGAAGTGATGGGTCAAATCAATTTTGCGAGGCGCGTCCGATTCTTGACAAATTCTATACCGACAAGAACTTCCGGAGGATAGGTTTGACGCTGCGATAGAGGTTGAATAACAGACTGACCAAGAAGGAGAAATAAATTCCAACAAATCATGAAGCTCTATGAGCAAATACAAGTTCTGTGGAACAACAAAACATTATTCATGTTTATAGATGGCAGAATATCGAGAACGATCCCTCAGGCTGATAGACATTCGGAAAGAGGGGCTACATTTCGGGACAGCGATATCTGATACGTTGAGGAGGTTTAAGGTTCAATCAAGAGGGCAATTACTGTAACGTAATCACTAACAATGGACCGTATAGAGGTGCATAACTTGACAGGACATTAGAGGAATCATCATGCAAACCACCTTAACTTCCGATTGCACAGGAACAACTTGAAATTCAGGCCAAATGATATTCCACAGTACGACACAATGGTAACACAGAGTGAACACGGGACTTTCTCCTCACGTTACTTACAACACTACAATTTCGTCGCGCTAATGGATGGGAGATACATTTCTACTCCCTCCCTCTTCATATTTTGAGAGGACTTTAAAAGACAGGATCAAATGGGGACTAAATGTTGTTGAGGTAAAGATGTTTTTTTTNAAAAAATATAAAAAACTTCCCACTTACCGGATCGATTCTTCGGCTTCGTTGCTTGATAGTATATCACAGCCGCAAGAATCGTACCACTCACAATAGCACCCGTCACGAGAGCGCCGCGCGACATGTACGGGTCGTACATGTTGCGGTTGTCCGACTCAGAATTCAGAATAACGAGGGAATGAACTTAAGCAATTTTGTCTGCAACTTTTACGACGTTTTCATGAACTTCAAAGACATGAAACAGTAATTCTACCCTGAATGTTCACGATACGCGTTTTCGAAAAGTATTATGATGAGGTAAAGTCACAATATCGGACAAATATTGACCAATAAGCCATTAGAACAACAAATATACACAGATTTATTTATTATCAGTACAGGTATAACAACCGAATGCCTTCGAAGTGTAACACCTCCTACATGTAAGAAAACTGGAATGACCAAAACTATCAGAGAATTTACCAGTTACAAAAAAGGCTTTTCAGAACTAAATAAATGGATCTGGCAATGAAAACGAAATTTATGGCCTCTGCGAACCACTAATACAATCATTCCGAAAACTTTCAAGAAGAAGCATGTACGACATGATGCGCTTAAAAGATTATACGCTCCAAATAAGACTTAGTTTATAAATCTACTTCATAAAGAGAAACTTATCCACTATGAACAGTGGCAAGCTCAAAACTCAATGAATAAAACTGATAAGAATGTGACTCAAAGCCTAAGGTAATATGATATTCGAAAAATGAAGGCATAAAATAGCGTCTACAGTGAAACTTCCAGGACAAACATTTCAGTCAGATGCAAATAAAGTTACGATGTAAGTCAGGGAAAGGAGAAAAAATTATGAATAGGAAACCGAACTCACAGGAATTATGGGTAAACAAAAAGACACTAACGTCATGACACGTCGTTGGAATAACGATTTGTGGATCAATCCTCCCGTGGTCATGCAATCTGAAAAAGCGTAGCTTCATTTTGATGCATATATTTCGTTAAATGAAAGGAAGCAACACGTAAGGCCAATGAAAAGAGTCGTCGTCGTACATTAGAAAAAGCGGTTAGAAATAGAGCCAGAGTTAAAAATGCAATAAAATGACCTCAAAAATGGTAGTCTTCAAGGTGTGGTTGAGTGATATCGCAGCTTCTGTTCCGATAGAGATTTCATTGAAAAGACAATGTATATTAAGAAATACCCTGGTACCTCAGGAAAGGTGCAACCCGTTCAAAGGCTGTTCTTCGCCACAGCTCTCAACTTGAAAAACTGGAGACTTGTGCATTCATGGTTCGCGTCAATTTGACAGGAACGAAAACTCAGTCCGGCACTCGGTTCTTACAGTAATCCGGCACGTGTTATACGCATATTTTTACCCGTCACATATACGACGCGTCGAAAAGGGGCTTTGGGCAAGGACAGGAGCGACACGGGGGTGGGTGGTGGGGTAAGCCAGTGGGTTACTGTAAGAACCGAGTGCCGGACTGAATTTTCATTTTAGTGTCAATTTGAGGGAACGTCGGGTTAGCGAACAAACTATTCCTACGGCTCAAAGATAGATAGAATAAACGAGATGCTTACGATTTCTGAATACGAGTTCGTCTTTGTAAAAGCAGGAGAGGTGAAATAACGGTGCGTGTGACGATTTGACGGAATATGAATTTCACAGCTAATTTAAAGCTTCGCATAAGATAGACGTAAGACAGGATGTATATTATGTCATGAGCTTGAAGGCACAACAAACTATGAAATGGTTGAAGGATAAAAACAACCATAAAAGCAGTAACAAAGACCAGCTTCCCTCACATCTCTGCAGTTTGAGCATTATGTAAGATAGGAACAGGAACCCCTTGAACGAAATTTCCATCTTTGGTGAGCTAATTGGATGTGGCTTCATGATCACGAAACTTCCAACTATTTTTCTTCCTAAGATCACCCTAGTGAATACGGTGAGGGCCAAAAAACGAGTAACTGCGCCAACCAAAAAATAGAGGGAAGCAGAATGAGCTGCAGAAGGAGTAGTTACTTCACATGGTTCGCCTTTCAAATGATGAGTGCTATCCCACAAAAACCCATCTTTACACCTATACATCAAGCTCATTCTGCAAATAAGCCGGTTTTGTTAGGCCCTATTAGAAAGAGACACATTCTACACGACCTCGTTATTAGAAAATAACGTCAAGCGAGTGTTCCAATACTAATGTATTGATCATATACATGTCTGTTTTGGAAAACCTTACAGTAGGAGAGGAACTTTACCACCTACGGGAAGCCATGTTGAAAATATCTGGAGGTATATGAGCCCACTTAAGTCACTCTCTACATCGAAAAAGGTTTGTGACATCAGCTAACAACAAGTCATAGATATATCAAGTAATTTGCCTACGGAACTACTGGTTAGATGAATCCCTGATATCGTCACCTGGAACCAGAAATTTCTACGTTTGAATACTTGAGATGAAAAGGCCCCTGGCTGAGTGATGCAATATTTCTCCGTAATACGCGAATTAGCAGCTATAGGTTTACTATGAACACAAATGCAATCTGGCGAAAGGTTTCAAGTTATTCTTCAAGAAAAAGCTTGGAAGTATACTACCATTGCAAAAAAAATCATATAGAAGCTATGAGACACAGCCTAGCCAGTTGAATTGTGAAGAGTGCTGTGTAGTATTCTGATTAGAGCGCGATATCTTACGGCCGATGCACTCTAGCGCAGCCATGATGTGTAGGCGAACCAAGCGAATGTGGCGAATTGCTAGGAATGTCATAACTTTTCCAAAAATATGATGTTTATATATTTTCAATCATACGTTATAAGTTTGACGGAGGTAGAGCAAAGGCAAGTGGCACACTATCCCACACGCATGGTCACGGGTTCGAATCTCAATCTAACGTAAACCCGCTTAGGTCAAGCAAGCCCTCCATCCCTGAGAGTTCAGTTAATTGTAGCAGACTTGTCCGGAAGAGAAAAGCACTGACTTGTACATCGGCTGGTCGCCACAAGTCATTGTATTGGGCATATAAGCATTCAATACACCACTACGATTCTGAGCGGAAATCGAATGCAGTGGCGTATCCCTCAGACGGGATTGATCAACGCCCGAGGACTTCATCCTTTATCCTTCATTTCANAGGTCCAGCTTAGGCTCTCCTCTCTCCCGTAGCAAAAAACGGAACTGGTTCTGATACTGCTTGCCTTGTACAATCCTGACTTCGATCAGTTTTCACCGCCACTATTCCCCTTTTGTCATCTCATTCTACCATCCCGTTCCATCATGTAAAGCATAGTAATGGGTTAAGGTTAGTTAGGGCAAAAGATGTTGAGAACTAAGTGGTTTCTACCTTTTGAGGCCCCTTATCGGCCCCTATCACCTGTTATCATTTTCTGCACTCTATTATTTACGTCCCAGACACACCCTACATGAATCTTGGAGTAGCGAAATTCCACTACCATTACGAAAAGAGGAATGAAGCAGAGTCCTTCGCAATTCAATGGCAATATCTGCCCCTACCATTTGTTACCGTACCTATCGCACCACCTGATGTTCGATTTCGTGGCCTAAGCAACGGCATACCTGATCTTTGTTCGTTGATAGAGCTCAGAACTCCGGATTTTTTTCTGCACTTGCGTGAATAGTGAAATTGCGAGCATCTTCCCTCACACGGCGCGTTCACTGACGTTGACCGCATGCTCATCCTGCTTCCGTAGATCCAAGTCTCTGAGGCGTAAGCCAAAGCAGGAAGAACTGCAGCGTCGAAAAGGTGAGCGCGAAACCGAATGATCTTTTCGCTACTCCCTCGAAATTCCTAAATGGATACGTTATGCGATACCGTGATGACTGTTGAACTTGGGCGATTACTGACTGGATCACTTGGGACGTCAAACAAACACCGGGACACCGCAAGCGCGATGGTCAGACTTTTCCACAAAAGCTCTAAACGAAAGTAATGCTTTGCTTCGTGGCCCTCGAGCGAGGACGATCCACTTGACCACTCTGGCTTGCGACAGGGACGAATGATGACGTTACTGGCGCCTTCGAAGAAATCGATGATAAACGAGACAACAGGTGTTGCAGGTGATGCCAATCGCACCGATCCTGAAAAATCCAAATTCGCCTTTCATATCGAGAAGATTCACGCTAACACCAAAGTCGTTATAAAGCCGAATGCTGGTGCACTTTAACACCTTTATCAGCCCATATCGGATGCTATCACTTTCTGTCAGTTACCATCCGATTTCATCACATGATACATCACCCACCGAGGTGATAAGGTTTAAAAGATCACAGGAAGGGCGTGAAGGACTCAGTGAGTGTGGACTCCTTATCAGCACTTATCAGGTGGGATCTGTACCTGTTATTCAACCGTCTGCGACACCGCCACATGCTGCATCACCCAGCGAAAGGTCAAAGCTTAACCCGAAGGGCGTTATTGAGTTCACCTGAGCAGTTTGAACGTTAAACGTTCAAAGGAAGTCGGTCATAAAAAGGTGTTTTACTGTGGTCATGCAAAATTGCCAACAGATTTTAAAATCCTCGAAAGTTATTGAGGCGCGAATGAGAACTGTTACTCGTATTGTAAAAGGAAAATCCCACGAAACGCGTTGGAAAGAGATCAGCTCGAGATGTTAGAAATCTTGTTAAACAATATCAGAATGTTTCAAAATACTGCCATCTCCGAGCTTCATCAAGACTTGTTGTCGTTATGTGTACTTTTCGAAGCTCTTGACCCTTCACTTTTTACTGGTAACCTTTCGGCACATAATGCTGCATACGGGCGGAGGTGGTGTAGTGGCAAGTGGCGCACTATCTCACACGTACGGTTAGGGATTCGAATCCCGGATTAGTACCCGCCTAGGCCAACCAAGAAGACTCGTCCGAGAGGATAAAGCGCTGACTTGTACATCTGTTGCCCACCACAAGTTATTGTATAAGCCACGTACGCCCTCACTACACCACTTCGATTCTGAATGGAAGTCGAGTGCGGGGGCGCATCCCTCAGACGGGATTGATTAAAGCCAAAAACTTTATATTTTAATTTTATTGCTGCATACAATCAGTTACTATCAGTTACAATACAAAATACATCAATCATACCAAGACCGGAAATCTTTACTATATATAAGTCACAAATGTCCGTTTTTC